TTCTTGGCTTTGCCAATTATACATTTCCTGATCTTGGGCAAGTCATTTTATCAGGTTGCTTCTTCCTTTGGATTGTGTCTTGTGAGAATTAACTAAGATACTTCAAGGAAGCATTTAGCAAACTTACTCTAAAAGGTTACATCTTCTGTTCAAAGTCAAACATGTTGGTACAAAGAATCCAATAAAAAGAAAGGAAATGACCTTTTTTGGTGGTCCCCACAGACTTTCCCAGGCTGGCTTTGGGAGCTGGCAACTATGTAGTTCAAACTCAGTGATAGCTTCTCCCATTCTAAAGGAGACCTCCACACTCTACCACATGACTATTTCCTTCAGAGCACCATGGAAGCATGCTGCATTCTTCTTACTCATGTTTCCCTCCATGAGACTAAGTTTTGTGGGTAAACTTGCCTATCTAGAACACTGCTTTGCTCTCAGCACCTAGGGCAGGTGGTCAAGGTAGGTGCTTGGCACCTGGATAGATGAATGAGTAGTTTCATAAGCAGATGCATGAATGGTTGTCTACAGAATGAAGGATTTGAGGGCTATAATCCAAATGACACCATATAGAAATCCTGGGCTGTTTTCACAGGATAACAAAAGCTGTCACTTTCCTGATAACCTATAAAATGCGGGTCTTTTTGAGGCAAGGCGGATCAGGTGGAACTGGAACATTTTAGATTCTAGAATATATCTCATTATAGTGCAGAGAGCATTTTCATTCTGTCTCTATGTGTGCCAAGTCAGCTTTAGCATAATTTCCCACTGTAATATTTGTTTAGAAGGAAGAAATTTGAATATATGGAAAATGCCTTTTACAACTAAATTTATCCTTAAGGTATCCCCAGAACTGAGATAACTCAGGGTTGGGTAGATCTGCTAGAATTATATGCAATGAAATGGACACTTTGCACCTAGCTAGTCAGACCTCTAGAGAGAAAAATGTATTTTCCCTTCTTGAAGTCCAGACACATGATGTGCACATATGTCTATAAGGTTATGATTTAACAATAAATGGTTTGAGTGCTATTAAAGTATTGTATTCTTTAAATTTAAGATTATTTTATGTGTAAGTGTTTTGCTCGAATGTGTACCACAAGCATACTTGCTGATCTCCTAGAATTGGAGGTATGGTGGCTGTTAGCCTCCTTGTTGGTGCTAGGAGCCAGACCCAGGTTCTCCACAAGAGTAACCAGTGTTCTCAACCTCTGAGATCTCGGCAGCCCTATTAATATAGTCTTTAGGAATAGAATCTAATTGGTCAACCCCCTTTTCCTGTGCCTACAAGTCAACATTAAACACTCCAAAAGTAGGTGAGCAGATAAGCTGAAACAGCCCAGCCCTGGAAGGAATGCATCATTCCTTCAAATGGGTACTGCTGACCTTTGAATGAACAAGATGAGTCTTAGACTCAACACAGGGACTGACACAGCTTCAAAGTCCTCTGGCCAGTGATAGCTGCATGTGGCTTAATTTTTTTTAAATATTCAATTGTGTGTGTGTGTGTGTGTGTGTGTGTGTGTGTGTGTGCACACTCGGGTGAGTTAGGTACACATGAGAGAGAATGCCCACACAGGCCAAAACAGTGTGTCGGATTCCCCTAGAGCTAGAGTTAGAGGTGTTTGTGAACTGCCTGACCTGAGTATTGGGAACTGAACTCAGGTCCTCTGTAAGAGCAGCAAGCATTCTTGACTGCTGAGCCACCCATCCAGTCTCTGGCTTAGTTTTAAATGAACAAAGAACAAATAAATTTTCCTTGGTTACTCTTATCTATATTTCTATTGCTTGGGTAGCCACACGTGCCTTGTTGTCAGTACAGACATTTTCATTAAAGAAAATTCTACTGACAGGGTAGTTCGGCTTAAACATGGTGCTTTCAGATCCATTGTAGGGAGCTCAATAAGTCTTAGGAACCCTCTGCAAAGGTAAATGCTACTCTCATAAAGGAAAATATGACAAATGATTTTTTTCCAGAGAAGAGGCTTTTGTGTGTGTGGGTTTTTGCTTGTTTGTTTGTTTGAGACAAAGTTTCTCTGGGTAGAACTCAAGTTTGTAGACCAGGTTGGCCTTGAACTAACTGAGATTCACCTGCCTCTGCTTCCAAGTGCTGGGATTAAAGGTGTGCACCACCACACCTGGCAAGATTGGAGTTTTATAGGGTCCCCCAGAGAGCTAGGAGAGAAGGAAATCAAAGGGTTCTGAGTTGCTACATGGCAGGAATGACTGGAGAAAGGGAGACAGATTCATGGAGACATACATGGCTTGATCAGAAGATGCCATAGTTGAGAAAACTCACTTTGTGTTGACTGAAAGTTGATTCCATTATAGTTTTCTTTTCGAAAAGAATCCTGTGATGGAGGTATAGGTCAGAGGTCCAGTATATGCTTAGCATGCTAGATTCCTAGGGCCACAAAACAAACAAGCAGCATGCTTTATTTGCTGAGTTAGAGAACTAGGAATGACGGGTCTTGGTCTAATTGGAACCAAAGTGTAAAAAAAATCACAGCCAAAGTGAAATACAAAGGGAACCAACTGAGAGTCTTTTGCCCATGGAGGGTGTTTATGAGGGTCTTTTCCTGTTCACACTCAGGCACTGTATTTGTCTCAGTAGAGAACACGGTTTCTTATCCCAGAAGAAAGGCTGCAAGTCATGGACTTTGCCATTAAGGCCACCTCTTGCCCCTCCACTCTCCCACATCGTATGTTGTTGAGCACCTTAGTCTCTAAGGTTGTCTCTGTTTTCTGACTTAACTCTAAATCCAATTTCTTTTGCCAGCCAGCTGATTTGCAGTCCTGGTACCATCTTTTGTATGCCCAGATTACTGGAGCTCCGCAGTATGGCCGACTTTTAATTGTTTGGAGAAAAAGAGGAAAAAGATGGTTCATATCAGAATGAATACTTGTTAATAAGAGCAAACACTTTCTGAACATTTGCCATGCACCATGCACTTTGTTAAATGTTTAATGTTTTCCATTAGCTCATTTAATCCTAATACGACATTGCAGTGGTCCAGGTATTGTTACTTCCATGTCATAGAAATGGAAAATGAGACCTAGGTGTCACAGTGGTGCACGCCTGTAATTTCAGCACTGGGTAGGCAGAGGCAGAAGGATTGCAAGTTAGAATCCACTCTGCAATACATAGTAAGTTCCAGGCTAGGCTACATAGAAGAACTTCGTCAAAAGGAAGAGGAAAAAGGAAACCACAGATTAAACACTAAGTGATCAGGCTGGGAATTAGATAATTAGTAGTAGGTGGAGTCAAGTTCAAAACCCTCTTTGTGACTCTGGAACTTGCACTTTTATCTACTACTCAGCACATGAACTTTTACACATACCAATGTTCTGACTCACACGACTCAAAACCAACAATAGAATGATTTCCTATTGACAGTTTAGATAAGTTCATACACCGAACACAGAACAAAACTTTTTTCTTATTCAGTCAGGTAATGGAGAAAAATCTTTAGTTCATTGTATTAGAAAGGCTTTGTCTCAGAACGGTGGTGATTGTGTCAATAAATAATGTTTTGTGCTGATTCGGTCTTCCTGGGGAGTTCCTATGGAGATGTTAATGGTGGTAGTTGGCATCAAAGGCTAAACCAGAGCTGGAGTGATGGGTATGGAAACTTCTTGAGGAATTCATAACTAGATGGTCAACAGCAGCCACTCGGCCCACTTTGTTTTAGGTTGAGTACCAGAGCAATCTGCTCTCCTACCTGTGATGAGACAGGGAGAAGAGTTCAGTGCAGATGCATGCCATGTTACGTGGACTAGGAGTCCTCACCTGCTCTACAGTAACACAAAGCACTGAGGCTAAACTTCTCAAACAGGGCAAACTCCTTTGTGTGAATACAGATTTACCTCTCCCAACAGACCAAGGCTTTCCAAGGACACAGATGATTGACTGGAACCTACTCGAGGCTCTTTACTCTTCAAAGGATTGTGATGCTAAGTGTTTCCAGTTTAAATACAAGTAGCAAGGGACAAGGGAATGCTGTTGAGTTTCTGTTTTAGAAACTTTGCTCATTTAGCTAGTGGGTAGATATTTTCAAATGAAAGGTGAGAGATACTATGTTTAGAAGGTCTGGTTATTGTGAACTCGTAAAAGCAATGCAAACTAGAAGACAGAGCTTGAGTTTTAAGTTAAAACCTCCAACTTTCATTTCGTTTTCTATAAAATGATTTGGGGGAGGGTCGTGCTGAACCAGACAGACATGCTCTTGTGAGCCTTTCAACATTGCCATCTCGGGATATTACAACAGATTTAAGACGTCAGTTTGGGACGGACTGCTGCTGTCTCTGACCCTGCACTCTAGGCACAAGTGACCACCTCTCTTTTTAGACAATGACTGTTTGACTAGCTCGAATGTCCCTACAACTTAGCCGCAAGGTATCGGTCCTGTTGGTACCCAGCAAACGTTTGTCGAATGGATGAATACCTGCTGGCTTAGGTTCTTCGTAGGGCCTGATCCGGCCTTCTAGTTCAGGATCCTGTGGAGGTCAACCCTCACCCGCCAGTGTAAACCGGCGCTTGCCCGGGATAAGCATGGTTCTCACTGCGGAGGAGCTTGATCTGCTGTAACGATTTGTCACTAGGCATCTGCAGACAGAGCTTTGAAGAGAATTAGGGCCAGGCAGGTTGGATCCCTAGACCGCCAGCTTGGTCTCTTAAGCAGATTCTCACGTTTGACCACGGTGGACAGCACGGGGGGAGGGGAGTGAGTGGGGACCAAAGAGAGCCGGAACTCTCTGGGAAGCTTCGCTGTCAGCGGGGGAACCTTTCCCCTGTGTTCCTGTCACAAATCTCGTCGCCGGAGCAACAGTGGGCGTCAACCAACGCGGGGCGGAAGTAAAGATTTAGTACACGTCTCCAGCTCCGCAGAGGCCCACACGCAGGAGCGTGAACCTATTTCCGGCTGTAGTTCTCCGCGTAGGGATGCAATCCGCGTCTGCGCACTCATTGTGACGCGCCAAGGCCGACCAATAGGCCTGCGTGGGCGGGGCCCGGGCCCGCAGCGCGCACGCGCGAACCCCGTTGCCTGTGGTCGTCCGGTGTCCGAAGCGTCCCGCGCTCGTCATGTCGGCCTCGGTGGTGTCGGTCATCTCGCGGTTCCTGGAGGAGTACCTGAGCTCCACTCCGCAGCGCCTGAAGCTGCTGGACGCCTATCTCCTGTATATACTGCTGACCGGGGCGCTGCAGTTCGGCTACTGTCTCCTCGTGGGCACCTTCCCCTTCAACTCTTTCCTCTCCGGCTTCATCTCGTGTGTGGGCAGCTTCATCCTAGCGGGTAATGATTCTGTGTCCCGGCAATGATGCTCCGCTTTGGCGCGCAGCTCCGTCCTCACAGTGCCTGCCCTTTGGTAGCTGGCAGACGGCTGGCGCCCGCGAAGTCACGCACTCTTTCTTTTCTTGGGATTCCAGGAAACAACAGGCTCAGCAATGTTGTCACGTTTCTAATGCCCCACAGTTGTTGGCCAGGAGCTGCAACTGAAGATGGGAAGAAACTCTCTTCTGGTGATCCCCCGCAGTTAGTACTGCTCTAAGGAAACATCCCACTCTGACTGTGATGGAGCCTTAAGACAAGTTTAAAGTTGGTGGACCCTTCAGTGAAAAAGCCAACCCTGAGCTGATTCTGTCATCAGGCGTAGGGGTATACATATTGGCGATTGCTCGTGACGCTCTTCAGTGGATGCTGGCTGTTTAGGTGCCCCCACTGTGTTTGAGTGTGTGTGAGCCCCTGTTTTCCTCATTATCCCCGAATTCAGATTTTTCTTCACACAATTGTGTGTTAGCTTTTCTTTCTGGTTTTCCTAATTTGCTAATCGTGTATACTTCCAGATTTAATGAGAATTACTTCCACGAATTTCATCTGAAGTCTGGTCTTTCTTTCCCCGTGGAATTGAGTGAAAACTGGGAACAGCTTTGGCTCAGGAGTGTTAGCTACCACGTGTATTATGGTCAGCAGTGTTTTGGGGATTTATTAGCTATTGCTTTCCCCCCTCAGTGTAAAGCTGGTTTGGGCACAGACAGAATATAGCACCGGGCTTGTCTGGACACTTGACTTACAGTGATACCTCCTTAACGTAGATCTCATGTCACGTGTACACATTCACACTGTTAGCTCAGGCACACCGGAGATCATTTTACTTCAGAACTTAAATAGGCCTCTGGACATCATGACTTGTGCCCCAGTCAGAGCTAGAGCTGCAGAGTTAGCTCGTTCAGTCGTCTTTGGAGGATATGTTAGCACCATCAGCCAGACCTGACAAATCTCTTTACTTCAGGATGATTTTATTAACCAACCAGGAGAAAGAACTTGGCTGAGAACCTCTGATTTTTTTTTTCATTTTTATTTTTGCCTTTGGTTATGGAAGTGTGGGAACAGGGTGGGGCTGAAAGCTGATTCTAAATAAGCCTTCACTTGTTGAGCCGCTGGGTAACGTTGGCTTCCCAGGACTACGTAGAAAAGAACGATCTGTTGAAAAAGTTAGATTAATGTGATAAAACCAGAGAGTTTGACTTTTTCATTTTTTTCCTTCCTTCTTTTCTCCCTTCCCTCTGGTGACTTTTGTTTATGCCAAGTACTGATTTTTAAAAATCTTTCCTTTCAAAAATATTTTTGTGGGTGTCTGTGTGCATGCATGCATGTATTGGCCAGAGAGCTCAAGGGGGTGTCTTTCTGTTGTGTAGTGAATTGTCTGTCCCTTCTCCCATTCTCTCCAGGTCCACAGTTACAGATGTGAGTACCACCATATCAGATTTTACTTGGTGCTGGGCAAATGAACCATCAGGTTCTTATGCTTTGAGGCAGGCACATTACCAACTGAGATAGAAATATGTCCCACTCTGAAGTCCTGTTTTTGTGCCTGTTAAAGCTAAAATTGTCAGGTTCCAGTGGGAGCTGTATGACTTGTTATTGGATAGACTGCTTACCAAAAGAACACTGTTAGTAATGAGACTGGTGTCAGTAGTGAGGACATTATTAGCAGTGAGGACATTATTAGCAATGATATTATCAGTAGTGAGGGCATTATTAGTAGTGACTTTATTAACAGTGAGGACATTATTAGTAGTGAGGACGTTGTTAGCAGTTAGGACATTATTAGCAGTTAGGACATTATTTGTAGTGAGGACATTATAGTATTGAGGACATTATTAGTAGTGAGAACATTATTAGTAGTCACTTTATTAGCAGTGAGGACATTATTAGCAATGACATTATTATTAGTGAGGACATTATGAGTAGTGACTTTATTAGCAGCGAGGACATTATTTGTAGTGAGGACGTTTATTAGCACTGAGGACATTATTAGCAGTGAGGTCATTATTAGCAGTTGAGGACATTATTAGGACATTAGCAGTGAGGTCATTATTAGCAGTGAGGACATTATTAGGACATTATTAGTAGTGAGGTCATTATTAGCAGTGAGGACATTATTAGGACATTATTAGCAGTGAGGACATTATTAGTAGTGAGGACATTGTTAGTAGTGAGGACATTATTAGGACATTATTAGTAGTGAGGTCATTATTAGCAGTGAGGACATTATTAGGACATTAGCAGTGAGGACATTATCAGTAGTGAGATTTTCAAATCTTTTAGGTAACAGGCAATAGAATGAAAGAAAGAAAAGTGGGTTCGAGGAAAAAAGAAAAATTTATTGTTGCTACAGAAAGTTATTTGCATACTTCTTTCTCACTGTGAACTTAGGGGTGTTTTACTACTGAGCTGCCCACCCACCCACCCACCCACCCACCCATCCATCCATCCATCATCCCTCCCCTTTTTGAAAGAGGGTTTCAGTGTGTAGCCCTGGCTGGCTGGAACTGCTGATCAGGCTAACCTTGAACTCAAAGAGTTCCATGTACCTCTACTTTGTTCATTATCCTGGCTGCCATGTTTCTTTTAGCAGCATTAAGTTTACTAGACCTAACCTCTTCTGCTAGTCCCGATCATTGCCTGGTAATAACGTGTTTTAATGAAAAATTTGAAATTTGTGTGTTTGGTCTTTGTTCATATTGTTGAGACAGGAAATCTTACACCTGCTGAAGTGTTTTTTATTTTTGTTTTTTACTTTTCTATGTGTTTTATTAGAAGAGAATGGAGGGACAGTTTGACTGGTGAAGGGAGGTTGCAGGAAATTAGGTTGGAGGATTTTGAAGGACCAAGTGGTGCTGAGTGCTGGAGCTTTGGGTGAGAGACCAAATTATTTAGGAGGTCATCTGAGAATTAAGAATGACACCATGGCTGGTGAGATGTCTCGGTAGGTGAAGGTGCCCGTCACCAAGCCTGAGAGCCCTGAGTTTCACCATGGAACCTGCATGGTGGAAGGAGAGAGCCAACTCCTGCAAATTGTCCTCTCGACTCCACCGTGCACTCCCACTAAGTACATAGTAAATGAACGCACTGCCGTGTCCAGCCTCGGCTCAGGTTCAGGTCCTGAGGTGGGGAGGGAGCGTCCGAGCAAGACAAACTTCTGACCACCAAGTGGATTGCACTCCAGTGGTCCCCAGTAGCTCGAGCCCTCTTTATTTATACTTAAACAGTTTTTCTTACCAGGGTTACATGAACAGCTTTATTATTGGCTCATATTTTTGACTTTTAAGAAATGCATCATATTTTAAGGAATACAGTGTAGTCATTATGAAAGCCCCCATTGTTCCCTTTGTTTCCCCCAAAACACATTCCCATCCCTTACATAACCTTATTCTATACATAGAGCTCAGCTATTGCATGTGTGACTGACAAAACTAAAAACCACCCAAAGAATCAATAATATAATGAGAGAAAAGAGCCTGCAAGGTGCATGAACTTTACAAATTCTTTCACTGTCCAGTTCCTCGCCAAGTAAGAGTCTGTTTGCACAGGTGCTTTGCACCAAGGACACCTGTTGGTCAGGTAGTCATGTGCTGATCCGAGACTGGGCTGCATGGCTCCCGACAAATGCAAGCCGGCCATCCAACGGCCGTCTCTTCTGTCTCTGGAAGGAAAGGACAGACCTGAAGCTGGTGTAAGATGTGTGACTTGGAGGAGGATGCTCTTTAGCTTGACTGGTTATCCCTTTTGCTTGTTCACATTTGCTCTTTGGAACTTGGTCAGTACATTTTCAACCAGGTTAGAATGCTGCCATCAAACTTAAAAGCCTGCTAAGACAGTGGTGTCTTCTGTGTCTTCATGGCTGGGTGACTCAGGGTCTTAGGAAGGGGGCTGAGGTGACTGGCCACCGGGATGAGCTTGTTCAACAGTATAGTAAGCAGGTTTTTGTTTGTTTTGTTTTTATGAGACAGGGTTTCTCTGTATTGTTTTTGAGGCTGTCGGTCCAGCCCAGCCTCGAACTCACAGAGATCTTCCTGCCTCTGCCTCCCGAGTGCTGAGATTAAAGGTGTGCACCACCAACGCCCGGCTAGTAAGCAGGTTTTTAAAAGGACCTCAAGGGAGTAGTTTTCCTTTCCTATTTCATTCTCATAGCTGACTCTTTGTCTTATGGTTAGCTCTCACTGGAGGAAGGACATCTGTCTCTTCTGAGTTAACATTCCACTGTTGGCAGCCTTCTTAGTTTCCTTTTTTTAACCTAACTGAAATTTGCTCATCTCAAGTACTATTTAGGGAGGGTAAGTGGGGAATGGTTAAGTCTGTCCTTATGAGTATGGCTAAAAATGTGTTACTAGGCAAACACTCCACCCTGGGGCTTTATTCCTAGTCTGTGAAATTGTTTTAAGTCACAACTTTGGTCCTTCTGTTCTCAAATGTAGGAAACAGTTTTGGCTTTTGAAAAAAAAATAGAGTTTGGGAGCTGGAGAAATAGCTTAGTAGGTTAGCGTGCTTGCAGAGCAAGCATGAAGGTCTGAGTTCAGATCTCCAGGCATGGCTACATATGCAGCAGGTACGGCCACATATGCCTGTAGCCCCAGGACTGGGGGCAGGAGGGGAATCAAGAGGATTGCTGAGTCTTGCTGCTTCTCAACTAAGGTTCAGTGAGAGACCCTGTCTCAGAGGGTGGAAGAGAGCCAGAGGGGAGAGAGAGAAGTGAGGGGGGGGGAGTGAGAGGGAGGGGAGTGAGAGAGAGCACACACGGGACATCCAGTGACCTCTGGCCTCTGAAAGTATGCACACAGGCATGTGCATCTACACACACATACCACAGTCGTACACTTAACACACACACACATGCTGTCACACATTTAAGACTTACGAAATTAAGTTTAGTGCTCTCAGTTAAGAACACCCAAAGGAGTTTGATTTGAGAGACAAGGAGACTAATTCAGAGTGTTTTCTGTCTCAAGGGA